AAAAATTTTGGAAAATAAAAAAAAATTGGAAACTTTTAAATTTTTTTTTTTTTTTTTTTTTTTTTGCTTTTGATATCTAGACCACTTTAAGGAAATTTAACCGAACCGAGACTGAATATTTGCCTTGTCGGTGAGATTCCAACAGGCTATGTTGACTTACTTTCAGTGTCGCACTTACTTTCTTTTTTACGGTAGCAGAAGTTAAGTTAAAGAAAATCGCGCCCTCTGGTGGCGAACTACAACAGCTGCAGTTTCAAACGCTGCCTAAAATATGCTCTATCCCTTTAATAATATCAAAACAAACAGAAAACTTACTTTGCTTTGATTTATACACACATATTTCGCATTTAGTGAAGTAATCAACAAGATGTGAAGAATTTGAGGCATATAATGATGAGGTTTCGTTTTCTCACACTGGCTGATTTTTTTCTGGATGGTCTTTATCTGCAGACACTCCTCCTCTTCCTCTCCTGCTGCTGCGGTGGGATCTGCTTCTCGGACCATGGCGCTGCGCTCTGAACACTTCACTGTATACGTGGCGTTGTGTTTTCTTCTTGTAGCATTATGTACCGTCACTGTAAGAGCTTCCGGAGGTAGCGGATCTAAAGTTTTGTCTCTTTTGCAGCCGTATGACTTTCTGTATTACAGCGGGGTCCGCGCTTATTACGGAGGGGAGTGGGCAAAGGCTGCAGAGCTGCTGGAGAAATCCATCCAGACCAAGGAGGCTCTGCTGAGAGCCCGCAGACAGTGTCACGATGACTGTGTGGCATCCGGAACCAAGGCTTTCAACAAACTGGGTACGTTTAGAGGCAATAACTATATTCTGGTGAAGATATTTATGCATCAGTCAGTCTAAATTAACAATAAATGTCAGATCGTTCAGTTTAGCTTCATCTCATTCAATTTAGAGGCTGGTTGAGTTTATTAAAGTACAGTGGTTTGCATAGAGATTCATAAACTTTTCATGTTATCATACTAAAACTACAAACTGCAATGTATTTTGTTGGGATTTAATGTAACAGAGAAAACTCAAAATAGCCTAAGGACAGTCAGACTTTACACAGTCAGCTGAATTTAGGTTTCAACTAAGGATGCACCGATCCACTTTTCACTTCCGATACAGATATCTGAGGTTTAGGATTGGCTGATACCGATCCGATACAGAAAAACTGTGCTGAATTAACTTGAAAATGTTTTTAAAAACACAGACTTGAAAGTACCAAATTACAAATGTATTTGATAGCTCTGCACCTGTACATTTAAGCAGGTATAAACATGTATGGCTGGATGTGAGAGGTGTTTGTGTTTTCTGTCAGACTCAGAGGAGGGCAGCATGTGGGACCTCTGGGCTCTGGACTGGATTCAGCAAAAAGCCGAGTGTCTGAGGTTCTGCATCGGACGCTCCGTCGCCCCGACGGGACAACTTCCTGTTTCTAGTGACATCGAATATGAATTCAACACTCGCAACCCCTACAACTTCCTACAAGTCACTTACTACAAGGTAAGATGCACTTTGTGCTGTGGAGGCGTATTAAAGGCGCTGAGAAATAAATCCTGACTTTAATCTTCTGAGATCAAAAGTCTCAAAAGTTTTTAATTTTTTTTAATGGTTCTTCTCATCTTTAGTATGATGGCATATTAGGGCCACTGTAGGCAGAAAACATTTTACATTTTTGTAGTCAATTAGTAAATTTTCATTTTAAAAAATCTGAAATTTCTTTCCTAATTTCACAAATTGACATTTTCTGAGTTTCAAAAGTCAAAAATTTGCTTAAAAATTTTGAAATTTTAGAGTTTCTAAAGTCGAAAGATTTTGAGTTTTGGAAATGTTCTGAATTTCAAAAATTGAAAATTTGCAAGAATAAACTCTGAACATTTGAGATTAATCTCAGAGATTTTCTTGAAAAAAAACATGGAAGTTTCAAAAGTTGCAAAGTCAACTTTAGAAACTCAGACGTTTTTCCTAAAAATTTCTGAGATTAATCAAAGAAATCCTGGGTTTCTTCTTGAACAATTTTGACTTGTGGACCTGAGAAATTTCCACATTTGTTTCTAGAAAATTTCAGAAATTATTCTCAACATTTCTGATTTTTTTGGCATAAATTTCCTCCTTTTTTTCCTATCTTACTTGGCCCTAATACGTTGTCATAAACTCGTACTGTGCATCCTCAGAGCTCTGGTTAATAAACTTATTAGTATTTTTACTCCTGTTGACTCTACAGTTAACGTGCTGTGATGTTTAATTAAAATTTGCAGCTGTATTTTCTGGAAACATGCCAGTGTTTGTCTGACATTCTCTCCTCCTCCACACCAGTTAGAGAAGTTGAAAAAGGCGGCGTCTGCAGCTCACACGTATTTCGTGGCCAACCCAAGTCACCTGGAAATGAGGAACAACATCGAGAAGTACAGGCGCATGGAGGGAGTGACGGAGGACGACTTCCAAGACAGAGAGACTGAGAAACATTGGGTAAGACGAGAAAAACCGTCTGTTTATAAGGAGTGAGTCTGAATGGATGCAGTGATGAGGCACAGCGTCCTACAGAAATACTTGCACACCTTGAAATTTATATTTTGTTTCAGTAAAACCTCAAAAATGTATGTTTTTGTGTTACAGAAAACAGAAAGTGGTGATAAATGATTGTGAAGTGGGAAAAGATGTGCTTTCAAAATTATTTGATTGCCTTGGATTTTATTTAGGGTTATTATAATAAAGAAAACTGAATGCATATGCACACTTTTTATATTTTTCCTTCCAGTTATGCACCGATCTGTTTGTTGAGGGCTTCAAAGTCTTTAATAAAAACAATAAAGTTTGAGGTTGTGATGCAATAAACTGTAAAATAAGGAAATGTTGCAGTAAAGTTGAGGATTAAATACCGCTTCTCCTGGAGTTGTTTCATCTTCCAGTTTTGATGCGGGCGCATTGTTTTCTCTCAGGTCCTGTACGATGCAGCCATGCAGCACGAAGCGTCGTCCGACTGGCTGCAGGCGGCGGAGAAATGGCGAGCGTGTGTGAATGAAACTCTGTGGCGGATAGACGAGTGCAGGGTGCAGTGTGAGGTTTCACCGCAGCTGCTGCCCGAGGACCGCGGAGTGGACGGGGTGGACGGCGCCTTCGAAAAGGCTGCAGGTGGGAAGAATTACAAGACAGGATGAGATATTTTCACACCACAGGAGCTTTACGTTGGTGAAAAATACGAAGAGCAAAACTTTGTTCTGGATTCTTGTTTATATTTTCTCAATGCTTTTAGTCTCTTTAGACGGCTGAATTTAAATATGTCAGGTAAAACTAACAGGATGATATGATAAATGCAGGAGGAAATACACAAAGTTCTAATTTGTAAATTTGATTTGATTTAATTTTTTCTTCTGCAACAATTACAAACTTAGAGGATAAATATATTTTTGGCTTCTTTAGATTTTCTCCCAGTGTTTTTTTTTTACTTTTAAAGTGGTCTTAATTAGGTTTCCTACAAGTTTTCAGAAGATCTTTAAAATGTCTTCTTTTTATTTTATCTATTGTTCTACTTGGTTTCAGTTAAATATCTGATGTTATAAACAGAAATCTGATTTTTATAGCCACTAAACTCTGACCTGTCAATCAGCCAGGGCCAGATTTACAAGGATGTGGGGCCCTGGGCTGCAGCCTGTTTGGTTCCCTGTCCTCTAAGAAAAAATGATTTTACTCATGTAAATTACAGAACATTAATACATCAGCAGGTATGAACTGATGCATGATAGATTTAACACTAATGGTTACACTAATGACCCAAAAAATGACTATAACTTCATAAGTTTTCAAATATTGTTATATTGTTTATATTCAGGTATAATATCAATATAGCTCACATATTATTTTGCCCAGTATTAACATTCATTAAAAAAATACATAAGAACCTGTCTGGCCCAGCAATCAGGAGTAAAAACATAATAATCGTACTGTAATGACCAGCGTTGTTTATGACACATATGGACATTCGTTTGTCTCGTCTGTCCAGCTCTGTCCCTGTCCCTCCTCTCATGCCGGCAGTCCTGCGTTACTCAGGTCGCCACACGACCCGGACGGATTTCTGCACAGGAGGATTTCTTACCGACTCAGCTTGAGCATCTGCACATTGCACAGTTTAAATGTGAGGCTTTGCACAGTAGAGAGAAAATGTTTTCATTATTGTTACATTATTTATGGTTGACTTTTGTTTCTCCATCAGCTGGCGATGTGAGTGGAGCGCTGCAGACACTTCGCTCCTTTCTGCTGTTTTACCCAAATGACAGGGACTCCTTAGACAACCTGCAGCTCTACTATGCGACACTAGGGGGCGACGCCGAGTCACACGGCATCCATCCAGCTCAGGTAAAACTTTAGAGGTCGATAATCTAAATCTGAATATTGTCATGTTTCAACCACAAACTTTACTGGATTTTATTTGGACTTAATGTGAAAGACCAGCACAAACCAATACAGGATTATAAATGAATTATTATTATAAGGAACACTAATTCTGCACTGATGTGCTGCATTGTAAGACGTCTGTGTTTTTGTAGTTTTCAATACACATGAACATTATGAACCTTTTAGAAAAATGATCCGACTCAGTTGCACATCCTTCGGATTACAGGTCCAAAATAACTGCTGTTATAGTCTTGTTCAATATATTATTATTATTATTATTATTATTATTATTATTAATTAAATCTTATTTTTATATATAATATTTTACACTTTAAGAACTTTTTTTGTGTGAACCTTTATACCTGATGCTGCTGTTACACCTGAGTTTCTCTTTTGCGAGACAATAAATGATGCTTATATTATATTATATTATATTATATTATATTATATTATATTATAGCTAGAGGGTTTGTGTTCAGACCTTCATACTTTGGTTCCTTTTGATGAAATTTAGTGCAACCAAATGCCTTCAGATCACTAATCATTAAATAGAGCCCACCAGTTTGTCATTTAATCTCCATATGAATGGTGGTTTAAATTTATTAGTGAACATTAGTGAACAAAAGGCATCATTAGGACATCATAGATGTGTGGAAGAAGCTGCTCTGGTCAGAAAATGCTAAAGGTTTTGTACAGCAGGAAAAAGGGTGGAGGCAGCATCATGCTGAGGGTGGAGCTGACTAGAGGCTAATCCTGGAAGAAAACCTGCTGGGTCAGAGCATATGCATGTGCTAGAATGGCCTAGTTAAAGTCCAGACCTAAATATAGTAAATACAAATACATGTCACAACAGATTTCTAATTTTAAAAAAGTTTGAAAACTATAAAGTACTAATAGCAACAGCAAGACAAAATGTGAAAAAGTTAAATTAAATATGACCCTGAACAGGGTTGTTTTGTGTTATTGTTATTTTCCACTGATGGGAAAATGAAGGAAAACATAAATCAGAGTTTAGTTTTGAATCTTCCTCTAAATATTTTTAAGTTCAATTTTATTTTTAAAAAATGGGATATTATGTATTTATTTAGAGCATTTTATGTGTAAATATATAAGATTATAGGCAGGTTGCTAATCTCCATCTCTAGTCTGATTGGCTGGTTGATGTTACAGTGATAAAAATCACAAAATAACACTGCAGAATAAGAAATGCATAGAGTCTACACATCATTTAATCAATAACATTCATCCAAATAGTCACGTTTGACTAAAAGTTTGTGTTTTCATTCAGGAAATTGCCAAATACGTCAACCAGTCGTTGCAGGAGAAGAGCCTGTTGTATTTCGGTGTGGAGAATCTGAACTTTACTTTCACGGACCCGGTAAGCGCTGACTCCCAGTGCAGCGACTGAACGCTGCAAATGCCTGTTTGCTCAGTTTATTCATCAATCTGTTTGCAGGATCTCTGGACTCCAGAGGATGTTGTGCCTGAATCTCTCAGGAAAAACTGGAGGTGAGACAAACTGAGGCAAAACTCACCTGAAATACAAGGCTGACTCAGAGTGTTTGCTTCCCTACAGAGCAGAAAAACAGGTGATAAATGAGAAAATAAAGGAAGGAGATCAGATAGAAGAAGTGGACGACAGCGGGTTTTATGCAGGCAAGAAAGCGGCTCCATAGTTTCATAATTTAGCTTTTCTTCTGTCTCATCCTTTACTGTTGTTGGTCTCAACAGGGGGTTCGGTCCCACAGGTGGGAGTGACCATAACCATGGACGATGACGCTCTAAACGGGACAAACCGGGTCGTTCTGGACGGAGTCATGACTGAGAAGGAGTGTGATAAAATACTGCAGCTGGCAACTGTAGGCAACTTCTATATCTTGCTTTTAGTCAATGTTGAGTTAGTTTTGTCTTAATCCATGTGTACAAATATATTTTCAGTAGAAACCAGACAGACTATACTGGGTGAGATGTGTTGTTTTTACAGTGTACATTGTGTCCTTTAGGTCGCGGCGTCGCTTGGCGACGGTTACAGAGGACGGCGGTCCCCGCACACTCCTCATGAGACGTTCGAGGGTCTCACCATCCTCAGGGCTGTGAAGGTGGGTGGAAATCAGAGGATGAGAGGTTTTGGTTTGGGTGACATCTCTGAAGTCCTCCTGCTGTCTGTCTCCCAGCTGTCCCAGGAAGGACTGGTGGACCAGTCAGACACCAGATTGCTCCATGAGCTGGGTGAGAGAGTGAGGACCCTGCTGCACTCCTACTTCAGGAGTCCCTCAGGGCTTTTCATCTCCTTCACACACCTGGTGTGTCGCAGCGCCGCTACGGGTAACAGCATTCGCTCTTTATTCTGTCCCAGATCAGAGAAGGTTTCATTTCAACACAGTGAATTTATAGTTATATCACATTTCCTACTCGAATCGCTCCGTCTTTAATCTGAGTCAGGTGAAATACTGACATCATCAGCTTTTGCAGATTAATTTCCAAAAGGTTACAACATTAGCATTTCCACAAAGAGCGCCTTAAAACATTTAGTCTCAACATAAAACCAGCTGCACCTAAAAGTCTCAGTCGTTTTTTTTTACATTAGTGAACGAGCAGCAGACAATCATGCAGATGAAGGAAAATACCAGACAAATCAGGGACAGAGATATGGAGAAGTTTAAAGAGAATCTACTATGAAAAATTCACATTTTGTGTATTTTTATACTTCCAGATGGTTTTAAAAACATTTCAAGATCTTAAAAACATCCAGTCATTATTTGACAATAAGTGGTTTTGGTGTGTGGAAAGTGAAACGTTTCAAAAAGTAACAGATGATGGGCTCTACGCCGTTACCTAGCAACCCCAGCAGAGCCCAGCCCGTTGCCTAGCAACCCCAGCAGAGCTCCAGCACATTTAAAAACACTTTGTGTAATTTCTCCTCCTCTTCATCGTCATGCATGTGCTTCATGTTGGCGTGTTGCTTGAAATTCTAACAAATGAAATTTAAGCTTGTAGTTGTGAACAGATATAAATGATCAAATGCAGCAAAGTACTGCACAGGACATTTCATTAGTAAACATGCAACAGAATTTGTTTTCTTCACTCAATAACTGTGTGATATTAAGAAATAATCTGAATTATTGTTGAATATTTGTCACGGTCGGTGTAATGGATGAGGTGAGATGCCGAGACCCAGATTATGGTGATGATGATGATGATTTTAATAACGAAAAATGCTCACAAGCAGTCCAGGACAGGCAGCACGGCAGGAAACAAGCACACAGCTAAATGCCGGTAGCAACTGACAATAAGGACAAAAACGAGAGCAAGCACAAACCAGGACTTGGCAGTTCCACTGGAGAGTACAGACTGACGCAGCAGCATACGCTTGACAAACAAAGACAAGGACCCGACAAAGAACACAGACAACAGGTGGGACTAAATACACACAGGGTGTAATCAAGGGAACGAGACACACCTAGGAACAATCGGGGAAGACGCAGAGACAGAGACACAGGGAGCAAACTGAAGACAAAAAACTCTAAAAATAAATACACAGAAACATTTTGCAGTGTTGATATCAGTTATACAAGTGATATAATCATATTGTCCTCTCTTTTGCTTCTTTTATTATTGAAACACTCACTAGGGTCAAGGGTCATCTGGGTCAGGTGTGCAAATCTACCAACTGGAAATTTTTTAGCTTGTTTTAATTTATCATGCGATTTATTGATTGATAGATTTATTGCTCATTGCAATAGATCTGCAGATCATTTAAAAATGCTTGAATCAGCTTTTGAGCCGATGCTGGTTCTGAATCTGTTTGTCTGCTTCCCTCCAGGTGAGCAGGAGGGCAGGATGGATTTGTCTCACCCCGTTCATGTCGATAACTGTCTCCTGGAGCCAGAAACCAAACAGTGCTGGAGGGAACCGCCTGCCTTCATACACAGAGACCTCAGGTACCAGAAAACCAGAGGTCCGGTAGTCATCAGCGTTTATTTCATTTGCTCCATTATTTACTCTGAATCCTGGTGCTCCGATTTAATGTCACCTTGTTCCAAATGTGTAAATAAGAGGAAGCAAATATAACTTAAAAGGAAGTGAGATTTTCAAATGATCAGATTCAGGAAAAATGCTTTTCAGTTAAAGGTGTTAATTTGTGGAAAAATCTAAATTTCTTCCTGCATTTAAAATAAATTTGAAAATCATTATGATGAAGGGATTTGGCATTAAATGAGCTGATATTTTGTTTTGTGTTTTTGAAATATGTCTCATAGTTTTCTGAGTTGAATAGCTTGAATAGTTTGTCTTCATATAAATAGAGGGCAGATATAAGTTTATGCTTCCTTCTGCTCCTTTTCATTCGTGATTTCTTTTAGTTGTTACCTGAACTATTCATATTTAGAATGAATTTGAATAAAACTCAAAATAGAATAATAAAATGAATCCATGTACTTATATAAATTTTCTCAGTCTTCTTCAGTGGAAGGTAACCATAGGAGAGTTTTCTTTAAGCAAATTGTCACTGCATTACCAAACTGTCTAAAATCAAAACGTTACATCCTATAAAATATGATAAAATCATTTTTACGTGTGTAAAAATGAGGAACATCTTTACCCAACAGCGCCATTCTCTACCTGAACGACAACTTTGACGGAGGAGAGTTGTTCTTCACTGAGCGAGACGCCAAAACAGTAACAGTGAGCCACTTTGATAAACTCAAATATGCAGATATTTTTTTAATGCCATGATGAATGTGGGATTTCTTTGCCCTCGTTCTTGTCTGCAGGCTCGAGTTAAGCCCAGCTGCGGTCGACTGGTGGGCTTTTCGTCCGGGCCGGTGAACCCCCACGGCGTGACAGCCGTGACCCGGGGTCGGCGCTGCGCTCTGGCCCTCTGGTTCACCAAGGAGAAGCTCTACAGGGACATGGTGAGCGCTGAGGTCCGACCCGGCCTCCTCCCCGCTTATGTCACACCTGCGGCTGCGCTGGCTGGTGTCGTGACTCTGGTGTTGGATAATCGGAGGGCCTCGAACACAATGCAAATCTGCTGCTGGTTTTGCATGACAATGGCCATTTACTGAGCCTGTTCTGCGGCCCGGTCGGTGCGGTCTCATCGTGTGCACGCTTGGAAAAGATTAACCATTTAGGACTCGGCGTTTCACATCTTTACTCCACATGTAGGGATTTTACTCACCAATGGAACAAAAAAAAACACACACAGGTTTCGGCCTTGAAACCTGCTGAACCATTCCACGTCTTGTCAGGTTAAAACTGTGAACTTTAATATGTTTTATGAAGATTTTATCTAATAAACCGATACAAAGTACCGAAGTGAAGGGAACATTTTTAAATGTCCTTTTCTAATTAAGATCTGAAAAGTGTGGCCTGCATTTTCATTCAGTCTCATCAGTCAACACTTTTCACTGCAGGCCTTTTAACGTCTACCTTTTAATTTCGAGTTTTTATTACAATTAGAATTTAAATAAAGTGTACATCCAAACTTTACATGGTTTCAAATGTGAAAATAACAAAGACATTTCAGAAATTTTGTTCATGCAGTTTGAAACTTAAATTATTCCAAAGTACAGCAAGTATTTATTTTAACTTGTTAATTTGAGTGAAAATAATAGAGTAACGTGTGCTCTTTAACTAGACGAGAGCAGATTTTTTTTTTGCACATTGTGAAATAATTATTATTTGTTTTAAATTGCAGCATTAAGTTAAAACTCACAATTCAAGATCAAAGAACTATCAGAATTTAAAAAAAGACTCTTTTAGACATTTGTTTATTGTTGTTAAATCAACTTTACAAACTTTATTTTCTGAGTTAAAACAAAAACAATTTTCCTGTGAGTTGCATTTTCAAGTTAAACCACCTTCAAATGTTTTACAGTGTACAACACAGTAAAAATACTCCTAAAAGTTTTTTTTTTCCCCAAAAATAATGTACCGCAACTCTGGTTCCATCACAGAAAGCCCAAGATGAGACAGCGATTACACTGAAGTGTTTGGTGTATAAAAAGTTCACTTGGTATTTTTTGAGTTCAGTTTCATGAACATCAACAGGAATGAATTTAAAAACAAGACACAAACGTTTTGTTTTTGCAAAACTTCAGAATTTGCTTTCCAAATCAGCTTCCAGCAGGAAATCAGCATTTTGACGTATTTTGCATCCCTGCTGCAGGAGCGAGAGGAAGCAGAGGCCATGTGGGCCGCCGACGGACAGAGCGCGTTGAAGAAGGACGAGGAGGAGGAGGAGAAGGAGGGCGGCGCCACTGTGGGCCGCAACGCCCGGAGCCACGCGCCCAAAGAACGGAGCAGAGGGAGAAACGCTGTAACGGGCCGCAAGGACGAGCTGTGACCATCAGAAGAGACTCTCAAGACTGGAACTTATTTTCACCATTCAGTTTCCACTCAAGCATCTCACGCCATTTGTTTTTTAATTCTGTGTCCAATTTGTGCTTTACTTATGCTGTGAGCGATGGAGAGCCGCCGCCTCTGTGATGTCAGTCTGTATCGCTGCTCCGGATGCTTCTCCGACCAATCACTGAATTTGAAAATGGAAAGAATATAATGTGCATTAAATGTGACTGTTTACCAGCGAAGCATGAGTGCCACATGCCAAATGCACGCAAGAGGAAAGAGGATTACAGACGGAGAGAGAGGTTAGAAACGGTGGCAGAGAAAGGCCAGGCTAAAAAGATCTGCTGAGCGATTTACCTCCGCCGGCCGGTTTTATTCTGTGCTGAATTTGAGGAAAATGATGAAGTTTGACTGACATGAGCGTGACGCACAACACTCTGCTAACAAAAAACAACAAAAAACCAGGAGAGAAATGTTGGATAGAGAGGGAGAGAGAGAGGTGAGCGAGGGTAGAAAAAAAAGGATAGAAATAGAGAGATTACTGTTAATCCCTTATAAATGAGTGCATTTGTTTATTAAGCTTAAAAAGTCTCCCATTTAGAATATGGATTATTAATCCAAGGAGAGAGCACTTAATCATACACATCCAGTGGTGACAGCCGGCCGGCTTCCCACTGCAGCCTCATCGTTCCCATTACAACCAGTGCCTCTTTGCAGCCCATATTAACACTCTGCGCTGTAATCCGACACAAATTTGGGTCGACCGGCTCCTTTAATGTAGTTTTAACCCTTTCCTTTCCTCGCTATACAAAACGTCGGGGTTAATCTCCTCCCAGGCAGGTGGCATTAGGCTCCCGACTGCCTGGTGCTGCGATCGCGTCCACGTCCAGACGTCTTCCTGCTGTTTGGGGTTTCAGCAGAAATTACATGAAACTGAAATCAGAGCTTCCTGCTGTCGGTCTTTTCCTCAAAATCAGGAGCTCTGCTTGGTTTTCTGTGAATGAACCGACTCATCTGGTTGATTGTCTTTGATTTGTTTTTAGATCTACAGAAGTAGATTTACCATAAGCACGAGGTTTGGTCTGGAAAACATGAAAATAACGTTTAAAAGAATAAAATTTAATTTAAAAATTGCAGTTCCTGAAGCAGTCTGGAAATTTATTGAGTTTGATTCAGGTATTTATCGTTTATCGTGATGAATTTCTTAATATGATAAGAATTCTGATTTATTGACACGACTCAAATTCAAAAATACTTTATTGATCCCAAAGGGAAATTAAATGTAACTCATGTTAATTTAATTCATTCAATTAGTTATTATAGGTGGAAATGGCAGGAATGAGCTCCTGTAGCAGTCTGTATTGCAGCGAGTTTAAAAAAGCCTCTGACCGAAGAGGATGATCTTTCATTGATGTACAATAGTAGTTCTGTATCTTTACTAAATCTTATCACACAATGTCTTAAAGTCACTGATTTACAAAAATAACTGGAACAGCAGGCAGCTACTTTTAATTTAAATATTTCCTTTCTATCTGTGACTCGCTGTCCTCATGGCGGAACATGACAGTGGCAGCATCATGCTGCGTTTCTTCAGGAAAACTGTTCAAAGTTGCAGAAACATCATTTTTAATTTATGACACATTTAGATTCCACGGCTTATTTTGAAAGCCTCCTGATGAAAGGTAAATATTCATCTGATTTATTCTTACTACCAACATATTGTCCTGTTACTCATACATTCATGATTTGCTACTCGCTCTCTGTCTCTGTGTCTGCTAACAAATCCCCTTTTTGCATTTCTGGGTTTTGTGTCCCGCAGCCTGTCTCTCCCAAACCCCGCTCGTTCCAAATCCCAGGTCAGCGCCGCTGTCGTCACTGCACTCGACGGAGCACAGGTCAACACTTTTAAAACCCCCGCAGCTTAATGTATCCTCTCTGCATCATAGTATAAACCTCAAAGTGGGCAGCACACACATTAACACACATTACAGGCCTGTTTATTCTGCTCCAGATTTAGATACGTGGACAAAACATGCAAACAAAGAGTTCATGCTGTGGGTTTTTTTTGGCACAGTGTTTGTCCTTACTGGTTTCAATCCTTGACTGGAAATAATACGTTCATGTTTGACCCATTTAACCTACAGTAGGGACATTTTATTTTATTTTAATGCAGGCAGCACTTTAGCATTTGCATTATTTAGTGAAGATTTCCACTCAGTTTTGTCTCACAAAGCTCAATCAGTTATTGTATTTATGTGCAAATTATTTTGGAAACCACCAAATTCATACAAAAGTCACTGCTTTAAAATTATTACGTTTTAGGTTTGATTAATGTAATATAAGCCAACCCAAATATTCTCAGTGAAAAAATAAATAAATAAGACATGACAGATTTAAAAAACTGAACACAGCCTGTAGATATTGTGATTTCTGGTTTTCTTTGGTAACTTTATAGCAGTAGAAGTTTAAATTTCAAATAAATTTCAATATGATATCAACGCCTGTATTAACCGTTTAGCAATGCTAAAGTAATGCTAACATTGCCTTCAGTTAATATTAGCCGGAGCATCATTTGTCTTCCAGCTTTTTATTTCCTTCCTTTATTATGCCACTGCAACGTAATGTTTTGTTTGTTCTATATTTTCATTATGTAAAGCATCCTGAACTGCCTTGTTGTTGAAATGTGCTATACAAATAAGCTTGGCTTGTCTAATTCACACAGGTGCTGCAGTCTGAGCTTTAGAACGGTCAGTTATATAAATACCTTCCATCGCTGGATAAATGTGGAGTGCAGAGGAAAATCTTGTGTTTTATCTAGTATAATGAAAAAAAACAAGTTCTCGAGTAAATCTGGTTTAGTTTAATTCATAATTGGCACCAGTTCTCAAAGTTTATTTGTATGCCACATTTCAGCTCTACATCATGAAAACACAAAAATAAAAAGTAATATAAAACATCATACAGTCAAAATTTGAGAAACCAGTGACAAACGTTACATTTTGTCAAGTGCCATCATCAAAATGATCAATACATGTTGAATATGACGATCAATATGTTGATCAATGCTCCAGTGATTATCAGTGGAAAGCAGCTGTAAACAGGCAGGTTTGTAGCCTTGATTTAAAGGAACTCGATGTTTATGCAGCTTTTCTTCAGTTTGTCTTCACAGGTTGGCCTGAAAATCAAAACCAAAATATTTGTTATTGTTGTATCAACCCTCCAGACCAGTCAGGACTTCTGGTTCTGGAGATGCAGAACCAGAACCAGACATGGAGAAGCAGCATTCGCCTTCTATGCTCTTCTAATCTGGAACAAACTTCCAACATTAGTAGTTCAGGGAACAGTTGGAGGAAATCAGTCTTTTCGCTGATTTGTCTAATATTGTGGTGACAGTTTTAACAAATATTTTTATAGAAGTCCCAAACTGCAGCTTTAATGAGAAACAGCAGGGTTTCCATAAGGAGCAGCTCCAACAAATTACTGAGAGGGTTTTTGGGAACTGCGGCAGCTGGTTTAAAGTCCCCAGCCAGCATGCCTAGGTGGGCCCCATGTGGGGACAAGGAGGGCAGACTATATGGGTCCCATATGGGTTTGTCCGCGGGTTCCACGATGGCCCCACATGGGTTTGCCCATGTAGGGCCAGAGCCCACATGGGCCCTGCATGGGCCCTATATGGTGGTGGCCCACATGGGTTTTGTCCAATTAGGGCCCATGTAGCACCCATGTGGGCTGTGGCCCTACATGGGCAAACCCATGTGGGGCCATCGTGGAACCCGCGGACAAACCCATATGGGACCCATATAGTCTGCCCTCCTTGTCCCCACATGGGTCCCACCTAGGCATGCTGGCTGGGGTCTTTCTGCTCAAACTTGCTGAGAATATTTGGTTTCTGCTGTCAAAGAGTTAAATCTTTGGCTGAATCTGCCGTCTCACAAACCAGACCCAAGCTCAGCTGTATCATAATGACTACAGCTGTGAAGAGAAACCTCTCTGATGAATTTTGTCAGGTTTCATGAGAGCGTCTTGTTTTAATGAGCAAGCAGAAACAGAAAATAAAGATTTTAAATCAAAGCAGACAAATCTTTCTTTGGGCACTGAAAATATGCCATTAAGAACATTTTAAAAAGCTGATTTGATGCGGTGTAAGTATTTAAAATCAGAAAGAAAAATCTCTGAACTATTTTGTCTTTCCCAAAACACCATTAATTGGCAGCAGACTTTTATGTACTTTGGAAATAGCAGAACAATTAGCAACATGTCACCTTCCTAAAATAATGGCCTGAGTCACGACTAATTTCTTTCCAAAAGTTTTTTAGGCAAAGAAAAAAATTAATAACTTTTGGCAAAAAATTACTCAGACTGTTATTTTAGCAATATAACTTTCAGATAATTTTCTTTTCAAGCAGTTCTGTCGTCCCCTGGCACAATGGCGCCCTGGGTCAAGAGCCATGTTGATCATATCAGAACCTGCTGCTGCTCTGACCCACTAAACATTTTGTTTTGGCTGGCAGCTAAAGGAAGCGTTAATTTACATTGACTGGGTTTGTTTGCTTAGTTGTTCTGTTTGCACAGTAATTGTAAAAAACCAGGTAAACTTTTTATTTTTATGCTGCAGGAATTCATCCTGTCACAGTAACACGTTTGCTGGACGTATTGCAACAATCAATAATATTGTTGTTTTGTGATCATTTTTAAGAGATATTATGGTTATTGTACAAGACGTTTTAAATATCCAATAAATAAACAGAAACAACAAATTAAATGAAATTTAATTTCATTTAATTTGAAATGAAACGTAAACGTTCATGTCTGAACATTTACAGTTAAACTACCTGGTGAGCCGGTCTGTCAGACAAAAGAAGACAGAGTTCGATTTTTAGACCTTTGCTGAGGTGGATAAGATCAGCTTTACATGTAAGTATTGGCCGAAAACCGATCTCCCAAAATTAAGTAAACAAATCAATATCAATTGATGAATTGGTGCATCCCTATTATGAAGTCTCTGTAAACAAAACTGAGTCCAAAGCACCAGACTGAAAACTTTCATCATCCAGTTTTTAGTAGAAAGAGAGAAAAGAGAAAAACGATGAATAATGTAAATAGGAATTATTGATATTGTTTTAATTTATCGTGTGAGTAATTGATTTATTGCCACAGGCCTGTCAGTAGTTTCCCACATTGTTCCTTCCAGTCTGGTCTCTGCTCTGCTGATCTTCGTCTCCATCCACCAACTTTCTAATATTAGCTTCAGTTCAGGTTTACAGAACACAAACTGCGGCTCTGACCACCATAAATAGCCATGTTCCCAGGTCTGACATCCAGTCTCCTTCCCTCCCCAGTATGGTTTCCGTCTCTGTGTTCAGATTCACCCCTGCTCAGGCCCTGTGACCCCCCACATCCACGTTTTACACCTTGTTTGGTTTCCCTCCGCTCTGCCCCCCGCCCTGCCCCTCTTCTCTGTCCATCAGGTTTTATCCCCTCATCGCTGATCTGCCTTCATCCCTGCAATCCTCATCTGTTCCTCATAGGACCGAGCAAGAAGCATCGCGCTGCGTGTGCGAAGACACTGAGTGACTGAGCGGAGGAGGAAGCGTGCTGAACTTATGACAACGACCTGAAGCGATCTGATCGCTGGAGCTGCTGAGGATCCAGACAGTCGATTGGTGAGTTGGACGCTCATCTGCTTCACTTCAGACATTCAGGTTTCAGAGAACAGGAGCAGAAAAAAGTTCACCGAAAGGATAAAATCACATTTAGTGAAGGAAAACATACATAGATCCTAAACCACACATGTCAAATTGTTTCATTGTTTTTGTTGTGACACCATTTGATTATGCTGGTTTGATTACCTCCTTCTTTGTTTTATTTTGTTTGTTAATCTTGTTTTTCTGCAGATCACTGCTTATTCTGTGTAAATTTAAAAATAAATTAAAATAAAATCACATTTCTCAGATCTTTTATAAATTATGTAGCTTCTTTAACTTTTGTTTTCAGTATAAAAGCTTTCAAATGTAAAACTCCAGCATATGGAGATGAATGAACAGTTTTTATTTAAATATTCCCCTTCACGCTAATGACAACCTCATATTGCAACAAACTCAGTCAACATATTTGTTTGCTAGTCTTTTGTGGCAGATAAAACAAAGAGATTTGAGGCGAATATTATGGTGGTATTATATGGAGGGATAATCTCAGTAAAAGCAACTCCCCTCTCCTGTGGGATTCCTTAAAAAGCAGAATTAAACTGGCTGTGTGCACACATTCAGATTTATACTGAAAAATACGAGGAACCTCACTCTAAAGGTCGTTTTTCAACTTGATTTAAAACTTGATCAATAGACGTAATTTTCAGAAATTACTGCAACAAAAAAGCTCGGGCTCCATCTGCCCGTCTCATCCCGCTAGCCTCTGCCCATCCCTTTCTCCGTCTCTCATCCAGATGTAAAGAGCAGTCAATAATCGGATGAGAGCAGATTTGATTCAAAAAGCTTCCCTTAAAATCTCAGCCCTGTTGGATTTAAAAAAAAAAAAAAAAAAAAAACCTAAACTGGCTCTTCTGTCTCACCTCTCGCCCTCCCTCCCTGCCTTAATGCACTTCTCCATCCAGCAGCCATTTAATCACATGGGAACAATGACAGAGTTCCAGGAACGGGACGGCGAAAAGGCAAACTCACGTTCAGAAACAACAAATAACAATAAAATATAAATAATTATAAAATCCTCCCCAGTTTTCACTTTCAGGATCATCAACAGCTGAAAGAAGCTGTCAGGTTTTAAATAAATCAGATCTCTTTCATTTAAAGTTAATACCACCTTCACTCTCTTCCCCTCCTTTTTTTGACTTTAAACAAATTAAAGGCAAATCCTCTTGGTCATGTGTTATGACAAGGACACTCATTCAAATAGTGATAAGAGCGACTGAGAGATTACAGCCTGCACACATAGGATAGCACACATACGATTGTTTTCCAGGTAAGACAAAGAGGAACAGATATCCTGATTACTCATTCATAAGAAAAGTAATTTGCTATGTCAGCTTATCACATTTTTTTTTTTTTTTTTTTGCTGTGAAATGCTCTATTTTTAAAACTGTGATTGCTTCTTTGCATGTCTGCTGATTGCATTTGTCACACCGTGTGAGTTCGGCCATTAGGCGATTGATTTTCTGCCCTTTTTAATCACCACATTACCAAAATTCAAAAGCCATCAGCGCTAAGTGAGAGCTCAGCACAAACCGTGCGTTGTTTCAGGAGGAGCCGATACACATCTGGCACGGCGACAGGACATTCTGGTTTTCTGTGTACATTCAGGGTGAGGATGTGTTGCATCTTCTGGAAGAACAAACGGAGTCGTTAAAGTCATGTTTGCCTCCTCGTTCGACCTCTCTCTGGTTTCTGCCTGTGTGTGCGCTGACGTTCTCCTGAAGGTGTGCCCGCGGGTTTCTCTGCGAGTTCCTGCGTATTTATGAAAGTTTGCAAAGCAGACGAGGGTTCGTTTGACTTGCAAAGCAGCGTTTACTTGGAGTCGGGTGTAAGGCAGGTTAGCGAGCTCAGGTAGGCGCGGGTTTGATTCCAACATGAGGTGAAAGCACAGGTGGAAGTGTTTGCTTAAGGGTTTATTTTTAATTGCCTGACTTTTATTATGTGTTTTTCATGGTTTTTATTTTAGGACGTCTCTTTCTGTTTTCACTGGTGACATTTGCTGGTAATCATCACCATGGGTGAAATGGAGCAGCTGAGAAAGGAGGCAGAAAGCCTCAAAGATCAGATCACTGTAAGTAGCTCCTTCCCTGTCAAAAATCAGGAAAAATCAATGTTTATTGTATTTTATGGTGATTCTGAGGGTAAACCATCATTCTTACGAAATGAATCCATCTTAATCTGTGACTCGATAGGAGAAAAACACATGTAGAAACACATTTCACATGTGTCCTTCTCACTGTTAAAACATTTTGATGTGTATATCAATGGCCTTATGGTGTCATTTAAAAAATAGACATTACAAAGAATTTGATAGATTTTTCATGTGTATCAAATTAACATGTGAAATAACTTCTTCATGTCACTTCCAGAAATTATATTAGGTAGTAACATGTGAAGCAAATGTTCACATTTGAATTGTTTTAATCCGTGTTTTCACATGCTGAAATTAAAGTGTGTAATAACATGTGAAACTGAGGTTAAAGTCTTTAATTTTTTCCAAAAATGTTTTTCTAATGTGAAAAATTATGTAACATGTGAAGCACATGTGGTCAAATATCCAACATTTAAACTTTTTCTGCTCATGTTTCACATCAGTCGTTTCGAACAAATGAAACACATGGTAAAACTTTGCACATGTGCAAACGTTTCCCATGTGGAAGTCACATGTGAGGCACATGGGATCAACCATCAAATATAATATTTTGTGCATGTATTTCACATGTATGTAAAACATGTTACAATAGATCATGTCATAACTTTGAAAATGTGCATTTCACATGTAAAAATTATTATTTATGATTTTTAAAAAAATCAAAAACGTGGGAAAAATTTTTTTAATTTTAAAATTTTAATTTTACATATATTTATTTCACCTGTGGAACATGCGACCATGAAGACTTGTGGTGATGTAATCACATTAAAAAACCTGAATTTTGTGCATTTTCTCTGTGAAATGCGTGTTTTGGGTGTGTGCGCTCCGCAGGCGGCCCGTAAGGCGGTGCAGGACACCACGCTGCAGGAGGCGGCAGCGGGGATCACCGTGGTGGGCCGCATCCAGATGAAGACCAGGAAGACGCTACGGGGTCACCTGGCCAAGATCTACGCCATGCACTGGTCCACCGACTCCAAGTAAATACATGCAACCTGCACACGAGTTCACCTGTTTTACCTGCGACAGAATCGATCTCTGTTAGAATGCAGAACGATAATAACTCAAACAGCTTGGGCAAGTTATTTTTGGAGCATCTCACTGCAAAACCACAAAATCTTTCCAAATTTTTTTTTGTCTCATTCAAATATCTTAGTTCACTTGAAATAAGAAAAACAAACTTAAAAGTAACTTTTCAGCAAGATATAGGAGCTTGTTTTAAGTAAATAATTCCTTAAAATTGATGAAAAAGTTCTAGTTCCACTGGCAGATAAATTAATTTATAACAATACATCTTTCCTGTTATAAGTGAAATAATCTTCCAGTGGAACTAGAACTTTTTTCATGAGTACTAATATTATTACTTCTAATTTGGATTTGTCTTATTTCAAGTGAACTACGATGTTTGCACTAGGAACTAGACTAAACTACTTGTTAAGGTTTTGTGTTTTTGCAGAGTTTGGTGTGATTTTTGTGTTTTTATTCCTGTGTGCCGCAGGCTGTGCGTCAGCGCCTCACAGGATGGAAAACTCATCGTGTGGGACAGCGTCACAACCAACAAGGTGGGTCAGAAACAAACATGTCACCTGTAACGATGGAAGCCTTGGGTTTGTCTTTCCACTGATGACTGAATACCAGGAGTTACAACGCAGGGCAAAGAGCCAGGCAGTTTTATTTACACATCATTTCACAAAATTTACTGCAGAAACGTTTGAATGAGTTACAACCTTTTATTTATTGATGATTTTGTCTTTTTTTTTTTGAATGCCTCTTCTGCACTCCTCTACATACAGTGATATCATAATAAAACTCCTGGTTATTATAGGTAGAATTTTATGTTGAATATGTTTTCTGCTGAGTCATCACCACTGATAACTTTTTCACAACCTCATTTGTTTTCTGTCAAGTCATCATAAAATAAACTGATCATGTCAGAGATCAGTTCAACCAAACTTACACCTCCTCTTTTCTGGCTTTTAATGTTATCTATTATATTTTATGTCTTATTCTAAATGTGTTATTGAAGAGGAATATTTAGCTCATGTCTACGGAGAGTGAAGAGTGCCAAATAAAACAATAGCTAACTTATGAATTAATTGTTTTGATGTGTCACTTTAAAAAAAAAAAAAAAAACTGGAAATAAATACAAAAATAATTTAAATATAGAATTAATGATGTGCATTATTTCTTTTTAAAAAATTGGATATAGTTAATTATTGCTTTGAAAAGTTTGTTTTGAAGCAGCCAATCAGACACCGGTTCTCCCTTAGCCCCGCCCACAGAGTTTGATTGGCGAAGTTGAGGATTTAAATTAATTCATGATGTGCTTCAGCACAGATACATAAAATTATTTATTAAATCATAAAATAATTATATCTAGTTTGTAAAACAAAATCAATACATTTAATTGAGGCATGTGTAAATAATTCTACATTTAATAAATTATTTGTGTACTTATATCCAGGTTTAATAAATTAATAGTAAATTTAAATAATTATTTCATAAGTTATTTACAACTTGGCACTCTTCGCATATTTCTGTTTTGGAGAGATTTTTTTATTCAAAAGACACAGCTTGCTAAAACTAAATAAAACTATTTTGATATGTAATGAACTAATAGCATTATATTTCAACTAGTTCTGGTTGAACAATTAACAGTAGACACTTTTTGGACTAGTAAAATTTTATCTTTAAAAATCTGTTAAGTATAATTTTGTTAAACTTCATTGAAATTTTAGAATAAAGTGTATTTAAAGGTCTTAAATCTATTATTTACCTCTTTAGTGTTGTTCAAATTTATCCTAATTAAATTAAAAACCTTATCTTAGCTTTTAGATGTGTAAAACAGCAGTTTTTCAGGTTTTAAGACAGCTGGACATGTCCTGTGTGTGTCCCCAGGTGAACGCCATCCCGCTGAAGTCGTCCTGGGTGATGACGTGTGCCTACGCGCCTTCAGGAAACCTGGTGGCCTGCGGCGGTCTGGACAACATGTGCTCCATCTACAACCTGAAGGGGAAGGATGGGAACGTCAAGGTGATGCGAGAGCTGGCCGCACACACAGGTAGGACGTGTGTAATCGAGCAAACTGAAATGACGAAAATAAATTAGCCAATTTAGAAAAATAAAATAAAATAAAATTTTTCGCTAGAAAAAATTTTGCGGTCGGATGAGGTAGTTTTTTTTTGTTTTTTTTTTTTATGTATTTCTCAAAACTGCAATGGAAATATTTTTTTGTATCACATGAGTCACATGATCAACAACCGGATGTTCCCAGTGGCGCAAACCGTGAAGAAAGAAGACGACAGGAAGTAGATCGAGGATGATCGCGCGGCATGATTTTTTAATGACTTATTGCGTGAACAAACTTTTTCCCACTTGATTTTAATTGCGTTTCTTATTTAATGGAAACACCGCAACTGCAAATTTGTGTTTATTCATTTTTACATTAGCAGAATATAGACAAAGATTTTTGCACATTTGTAATGAAAAGGCAGTTACTGTGACCAATACATGAGGGCACGTCTATTCAGTGTAGTTCTATACTTTGTTCTCTGAGCGCCTTCCTACTTTATAATTGAAACTATATTTAGAATCCCTAATTGCACATTTTTAAAGGTTTGTTGCTGTTTGTTTTTACATGTTTGAACAAGGTAGTCATCCTATTGTTTTTCTCAGTTTCATTATAAATTATTTTACACTGGTTGTTATACTTCTAATTGCTAAAGTTGTGTTTACATGTTTGATCAAGCGAAGTGAAGCTACTGGTGTATTTGAGTGTGTTGTACTGTGCAGAGTTATCAAAGAAATTTATTATTCAGACTGTGTTTTAAACAAAGAAAAGTTTTAAGTCAGTTCAGCTCTGCTTTTCTGAATCGGAGCGGCATCGGCTGGTACTAAACCCCAGATATTTGAATCGGTATTGGAAAAGAAAAAAGTGGATCGTTTCATCTCTAGTTTTTAAATCCCTCTGTCTTCCCAGGTTATCTTTCCTGCTGCCGCTTCATCAGCGACACCGAGATCATCACCAGCTCAGGCGACTGCACCTGGTAAGAACAGATCACAGCTGATTGGACCGCCATCTTAGTGTTTAGGGCACAAAATAAAGGCTCATTTCATTTCAGCATACTCTGGGACATTGAGACAGGGACCCAGAAGACTGTTTTTGCTGGACACCAAGGAGACTGCATGTCCCTGGCCGTAGCGCCAGACTTTAAGTTTTTCATCTCAGGAGCGTGCGACTTTACGGCGAAGCTGTGGGACATCAGGGAGGGCACCTGCAGACAGACCTTCAGCGGCCATGAGAGTGATGTCAATGCCATTGGGGTACGCGTGAAGAAGATGTTTTCAGGATGTTTTACCTCTAAAACCCTCCATTTGTAATAATTTGTCATTCTTTCCAGTTTTTTCCCAATGGTAACGCAGTGATAACCGGATCAGACGATGCCACCTGTAAACTGTTTGACCTGCGGGCTGACCAGGAGCTCATCACCTACCAGGACTCCGGCATCATGTGCGGCGTTACCTCCCTGGCCCCGTCCTTGTCCGGCCGGCTCATCCTGGCTGGCTACGACGACTTCAATGTGAACATCTGGGACACGCTGAAGGCTGAGAGAGTGGGTACGTATACCTGGAAACCTGATCAATTATAGATTACACCGGACAAGGGAAGAAACATGCGCCCTGCAGAGGACAGTGAGGGGAGCCAACCCATCACTTTGTTGTCCTTGGAATTGAATTTGCTTGTATTATTTGGCTCATTGTCCAATTGGACGTTAACTTTCTGCCTGATGTTTGACGCTGTTGCTTCAGTATTTCCACATAATGTTCTTTACTCATCATGCCATCTGTTTTGTGGAGTGCACCAGTCCCTCCAGCAGCAAAATACCCCCACAAAACGATGTTTTCCAGCTTGTGAATGTCCTTTTTACTAAAACTAAAAAAATAAAGAAATAAAAATGGTGGGCATTATGGCCAAAACTTCAACTTAGCCTTCACAAACAATTGGACATACCACCAAAGATCCCCAAGTGCATTTTCAGACTGTAACCTGGCTTTTATGTTGTTCTCTTCTTTGCTAAGTGGTATTGGATAAGTAAACTATCTCAGTCTTTCGTTGTGGAGTTGAGAAGTAAATTTCACTCTAAACATGTTCCTCTCTGGGACACAGAATCGTATCCTTCATAGAAACTATGATGACTAGAGAATCCCATTGTGTGTGTTTTATAAAACAGATTCAAAATGGGGCTGGATTATTTGGATGAAAGACTTCTCACCATATCAGAGTTTCATATCAGTCTATATCAATAGTATTGATTAGTTTTTTGTTTTAAATATCTGAAATTCTGCCAAACTTGTGCTGTGACCTTTCCTGTTTTATCCAGTTTTCTCTCCACGCCTTTGTTTATTTATAAGCAGTCATGAGGCACAGTGGTGTAACCTATAACTGCTGCTGTGCCAGTTACTCAACAGGTCGTTGCTAGGTAACCGTAGAGTGAGTGAGTTGCTAGGTAACCGTAGAGTGAGTGAGTTGCTAGGTAACCATAGAGGGAGTGAGTTAGTTGATTCCACTCACTTTACTTTGCTAGTCTTGAGAGGTTTACTAGCTAAAGTCTTTCCTCTGCCTACATCCCCCAGAATGCTGTGCAATTCTGGATTATCTAAATATTTATTGATATTGATCGCAATTCTAACACAATATATATAGTTATTGATTTATTGTCCAGCCCTAATCCAAAACAGTTTCCTATTACGGTTTGATTGACCTATCAGGAGTTTACAGACCATTCGACTATTTAAAACTGTTGGAAAACTGACCAGATTTTAGTGAATATAAGCAAAAAGAAATAAGTTTAGTCATTTGAATGACATAAAACAGGAAAAGGTTGTCTGATTTAATGTTGGATAGTGTTATTTTATGCAGTGCATGTAAATATCTGATTTCAAGTGCGTAAATAAGACTATTTGAATATAAGAATATCGTTATTTATGTATCTTAAATAGCGGTTTTACTTCAGAAATAATCACCTTCTTTGATTTATGCTGTTCTTCAGGTGTGCTGGCTGGTCACGACAACAGAGTGAGCTGCATTGGCGTGTCTGCAGACGGCATGGCCTGCTGCACGGGATCCTGGGACAGTTTCCTCAAGATATGGAACTGAGGCTGTCCCTCTGCTACAAGCAGAAAGAAAGCAGTTCATTTATGCTTGGAAACATGTGAAGATTTAAAACAAGGCGAGATCAATGGAGGCAGGAGACGACACGTACAGTGAGAAGAGGGTATTTTATCTGTGCCAAGTCATTTCTAATGTTGGAGAAGAGGAGTGTAATGCGAGGTTTCCTCTTCTCCCAGTCACACTGCACTCTCACCTTTCTTCTCATGTTCTGGCGGAAATTAGGGTAGAACAAAAGAGTGGGCGTCTTAGTCAAATTTCTCATTAGTTAATCTGTAATTCAGATGAAACAGATGGCGGATGCATAATTTTTGGAGCAACATTAAGATTATCCAATGCGAACAGTTGCCAAATGGAAATGGTAGCACACTGGATGATGGTCAGAACTAAAAACATGTCAAGTTACAGCCTGTGTAGAGTCACAGAAGCTCCACTTATATGCTGTTTTATATGAGAACATAGGTTACACCATATGAATAACATGATTTACAATCATTTGTTTTAGCTTCGGTAGATCCCCCAAGTACTTAAACTTTCTTTTTATTTTCTAATTTTATTTAAACTTGAGTCAATAGTTTGCAAATGTCTGCATTTGTGTTTGTTTTGTATGTGACTGATGGACAATATTTAGCAGGATTTGGGATCGTTTTTGACTTTATCCCCTCAGTAAATAGGTAAAAACTCAAAATGACAGATGGATTAGTAAAATGGTTACTTGGTGACCCTTTTCTCAAGTCAAAACTATATCAAAACAGTAACTGAATATTTATATATCTGCTTATACATTTATCTTTATAGCAGGTAGGCTCTGAATTCTGATTGTATACATTTAGATGAACGTCAAACTAAAATTTCAACTACATTTTTTTCAAAACTTGATCTACACTGCAATGTAAACTAATAAATTTGGGATTCTGCTAAACAATTGTATGTAGTCTTAATTTCTGACTCGTACTGTTTACTACTTTGATAATCTGAAGTTTAAGTGAGAACATAAGATTAGTTTTATCCATTTATTGTCTGTACCTGCTTGTCCTTGGAGGGTTGCACTAGTGCTCATCTCCAGCAGTCATTGGTCAGGAGGCGGAGCACACACTGGAAAGGTCGCTAGTCCATCAAGGCAACACAGAAACACTCACACCTAAGGGCAATTTAGGGAAACCAACTATCTTGACAGCAAAAGTGGATAGTCAGCACAAAAACATATACATACACTTAAGAGTACTTTTATATCTGTACTAGAGTGTAGTCATCTGAAGAAAAAATACTGAAGAATGAAAAACTTTCAAGTAAAAAGGCTACTCAAGTGCAATCCCAGCCTGTTACCTAGCAACCCCAGCAGAGCTCTGCCCATCACCTAGCAACCCAATGGAACGCCAGCAGATTGGAAAAGTGCTGTTTAATCTGTGAAAATGTAATCATAAAGGCAAACACTAAAGGTGGGTCCAATGTAAAACCAAGGATGAGTACATGAAGCACTTCATGTCCACTATGGCGGATTCTGTGGCGGCACAGATGAGTTTATTCGCTTAGACTCTGGGAACACTGGAGTTTGTGGCATTAACCTTTTAAAAATACCTAGATTAAAAAAAATAAAATAAATTCTCATGGACCCTAAAGTGAAAATAGGTCAGCACTGGATCTTTCAGCAGGAAATTGAGATTGTATGGATCTGTATGCAGACTAAAATGCTTTACAATTAAAAAGAAAACTGATGCGAGATGAAAATCAAAATAGAAACTGGCCAACTCTGTATGCTTCAGCATTGTGAAATATATTAGAGAACTAAATGGCCTCCCACAAAAAAAGTTTCACAATTAACAGCAGGCGTGAACTTGTGCTGCAACAATTAGTTTTTAGGATTTTTTTTACAAATCTTCTGCATGTGTAGCAGTAAGTAGATGCAGGTAAACCAGAGGAGCATGATGCACTTTCCTAAAAGTACCAGAAAATGAAAAGGCAGCTAGACATGAGCTGATCTTTTAGTGTTAAACTTTTATTCTGTAGACAAAAAGATTTGACAAATTTAAATTACACAAATGCTTTAAAAAGGTCCAACAAAAGTGAACAAAATCTCATATAAGAGGACAAGAAAACGAAGGAAAAAAGACCAAGCAAAGTAGAAAACTGCAGCATGTCACAGACAATATTTACATACTTCAAATATAAGCTACCAGAAGACATACACATAAAAGCACATTTTAAAAAATTTTATAGAGGGACATATTCTGAGTATCTTCCTTCAGTGGTTCTCCTTGTCCAGAGACACTGCCAGCACCCTGCGGTCCATCTGTCCAAGTCTCTGCTTGGACTGATTGGACACCTTCAGCTTCGTCTGCACAGTGAAAACAGAGAAAGTCACTGCAATGATTCATTTTATTGAATTACACATAATCAGAAATCCTTCTGCAATAAGTCAACATGGGCTTAGAGGGCTCACATTAAACAAAATTCACATTTTTGTACTTCCATTTGGGTCTCCACTGCTTCTAAACAAATAAATTAAAATAAATAATAAAAAAAAAAAGCCCAAGTGCTTCCAAACAAAATAAAAAACACCCAGACATTTTTTGTGTCAAGTTAATATTTTTTGGTGTTTAGGAAAAAGTCATTAAAAAAACCCTTCAAAATGTAACGTCACAAATCAGTAGGCACTGCCCCTCACCTAGCAACCCCCACTTGTTACCTAGCAACCCAAGCTGAGTTCCAGCACGTTTGGTCACCTGGTTTTACCGCTGTACAATGGCTGCTGGAAAAGACAAGTGTTTTGACTTACCATTCTGAAAAGATGTTTGTATAATGTTAAAAAACAGCTCTATAATTGCACATTGCTTGCAGCCATTTTGACTTGCGCATGTAAATGTTGAGTTGGGGGGACGTGGCCAGCAGCAGCTCATTTGGATTTAAAGTGACAGGAGGCCATAAAAAGCTCGTTCTAAAAGGAGCTCAGAATAGGAAGAACTGACCAGACTGAAATATCATCCAAATATAATTTTGTGCAAAAAAAAAAAAAAAAAAAAAAAAAAGTAGTGAACATATATCTGTTCAAGGAAGCATAATAATGGATCCCCTTTAAGAGACAATAGCATTAGCGTAATAATTGCCTGTTTGTACCTGAGAACGTTGGTCTCGGGGAGAGTTGGTCTCCTTGAGGATCTGAAGGGGAGAGCGGCCCTCAGTACCTGGAGGAGAAATGCCCAAAAACTTACAAATCTATAAAAAGAGACAAAAGTTTTCACACCAATTCTTCCTCTTTACACACCTTTTTGCTTCAGTTTTCCAGACTGCCCCTTGTTTTCGTTGCCGATGCTCTTTACTGCCACACGGACAGCAAGAGGAGAGGAGCTTCCTTTGTTCCCCTGAACTCCTCTGGATCTCAGCCCAGTGGCACCAAAACCTTTCCCCAACCACTGCGGCTTGAACTCCAGCTGACTGGGGCTCTTCATGTCAAAGGTGGGGCAGCGGATACCTGTGCACACAGGTACCTGCTCTGGACTGGGGGCTTCTGGTTGCTCTGAGGGAGGCAGAGGAGATTTGGTTTTCTCTGCTTGCTTTGGCTGGACTGTAACAGAGGAACGGGCGTACGCATGATCCACGCCATCTACAACTTGGTCCTTTTCCACATTAGGTTCTGATAAAGCACGACTTTCATGGTGAATCTCAGCAAACACCTGAGAAGAAGTTGCCCCCTCATGGCATGTTATCAGGCTCATGCTCAGCCTCTTGTGCAACGGGGTCTCCCTTGCTTCTTCTGCCTCCTCCAGGCTAATATTCGCTTCCGTTTCGATCTCCATTGCCACCTGAGGATCCCAGAGAATCTCAAAGGGGCTCGAGTTGCCGACGAACACCTGAGAAGCTTGATCGGGAGCTGCTAAGAGGTTTGCATGTTCGACTACAGAGCCAAAGTCAGTTGCTCTGCGTGGACTGAGGAGCGGCTCTGTGGAGGCCAGCTCCTCGTCCTCATGGACCTCATCAACTGGATCACTGTGGCGTTTCTGAGGACCTTCAGGGACTTTGCCTTCAGCCTCGTTGTGGAAGAGCATGCCCAGGCGGCGGGTGAAGGATCCGACAGTCGCTGGGGGAAGAAAAAGCAGAAGTTCAAGTCAGGCCGATGAGGCTGAGTAAAACCCAACAGGAAGTTGCTTACAAAATATTTACCTCTCATGATTTCCCTCACAGGGGTGCGGGTGATACCAAAGGTAGGCGAGCGGGGATCGTTTACAGCCAAGGGACACTCACTTTTCACAGCTGCAGCAGAGGTCGACTCCTTTCCACAAACCTAAGAGGTGAAGTAAACTTAGCCAGCGCTTACCAGAAGTATTCATACCTCTTGACCTTGTCCGCATTTAGTTACTTTACAACCAGAAGTTGTAATGTATATAAACTACAAGTGGAGGCATTTATTTTATCATTTATCATAAAAGTCTTAAGAACTTTGATTTGTTGTCACAATAAACTCCAGTTAATATAAAAAAAAATAAACTCAGAATTGATAGTTTTACCACTTTGTCCCCCGTTTGTTCAAAGAAATACAAAAATAAATTTGATACAGTTACTGTTTTAATGAAGCAATTACAAATGGGAATGTTTAAGAGTAGTATTTGTGTGTGGGGTTATAATTTCTGTTTCCTAAAAAAAGTTACCAATAGTTCTCAACGTCACTTATCACAATTGTACCACAAAATATCATGATAAAACTTTAAGTCCATATCACCCACCTCTAATATAAAAACCATTTCAGTCCTTTAAGATTCCTCCCTGGTAAGGCTCCGCAATATTATAATTGATCATAATTGCAACATCAGTGTGAGCAATATTCACATCACAAAGGACCGTTTGTAAAGCAGTTATTGTTGGCCAATCTATTCCAAGGGTTATGATCTCTCATTTTTTATGCTCATGTAATATTTAGCAGCAAATACCTAAAACACTGAAGGTCAGAGTGAGAACAAGAGATGAGAGGAAAGAGAAAAAAGGCAAATATTTCTAGCAATACATTTGTTGCAAAATGTTCTAATATCATGCAGCCACTTCACCTGAATCAGGTGACCAAATTACCTTTCACAGAGAAATGCTAATGAGCTAATTCAACTCAAGTGTGTTGGGGCACATGCACAACTACAGACTCCAGGGACTGGAGAAGTGGTTAGACAAAACCATTTCTTTGGTTTTGTCCTGTTGAAAGCCCCCAGTCTCAAGCATTTTGTTGTCTTTTAGCAAACATGACCTCTTATAGTTTTCTTTTTTCCACTCTTCTATAAAGGGCAGATTCATGGAGTGCACAACCAGAAGACATCACCGATTCTTGAACCTGAGCAATGGATCCTTGTAGCGTTACCATAGGACATTGGTTTGCTTCTCTGATTAAAAGTTCTGCATGCCCAGTTATTTAGCTTAGCCATGTCTTGGTAGGTTTGCAGATGTAACACATTATCTTCTCAGACTGAACAATGCTTTAAGGTTCCAATATTAAGATAGTTCACTAATCAACCTCAGAGGCCTTCAAAGAGAAGCTGTATTTAAACTGAAAAATGGATGTACTGCTTTGTGTTGGTCTGTCTCAATAGGATGTATTCAAGTGTGTATTTGAACCAACCTGAATGGGTGTTCGATCAATCCCAGCAGAGGGAGAGCGTGGATCTATCAGATGACTCATATGAGTCTTCTTGATGGCTGGTTGTGGTTTTGCGTCTGCAGACGCAGCCATCTTGCTCTCACTTGTTCCCATAATGCCTATTAAAGGTTACCTGAATCACAGGTGGACAAAAAGCAAGCTTAATGTTAAAAAGAACACAAAAAATATGCGAATGATGAAGAAAGCACCAACATGAACCCTGCAAAGTGACCTTAAGTCAACACGTTTCTATCTAATATAACAATTAAAAAAAATTTTAAAGCTAATTTACTGTTGTTTCTTTTGTTTACAGGGGATTCTATACAGCCACTGTTCTAAAATTAACATTTCAGTGCAAATATCTGCAGCATACTTGCAATTATTGCTTGGGCAAAAGACAGCTGTGGTAAGGACTAATACAAGCAACAGCAAATCTGTAAAAAAACAAAACAGAATAATAAGTGAAATAATTATGTAGTATATTGACAGCGTTTATTTCCCAAAATACACAAAGAGAGAGATTACAAACTGTTCAAGCCTGCATAAAACCCGTATGCAATAGTAATAGATATTAAAAACACACAAAAAACGCTGATACATTTAAGCAATTAAATGTTAGATTAGAAAGTAAAGCAAAAACAATGCAGTTCAGTCAATGAAACGTCAATTATCTGAAGAGTCATCAGTTTTAATAATAAAGCCAAGAAAAATGCGTAAAGTTTAAGTTCACAAAGTGTTTCTTTACCTTAGACGAGACAAAGCCAATCGCTCCGCCACACAACTTCAGATCCTTTCACTTCCAACTTCACCTTCCGACAGGCAGGAAAACACGAGTTTTTAAAAGATTTAAATGGCGGGGTTGCGTGCCTCGTTCTTTTAAACGAGCCAATAAGCGCACGCTTCCGCTTTGCCGCCTCAGATCCGATTGGCTTAAAGCAAGCCACGTTTGAAATGGGCGTGGTCTATGCGTAACGACGTTTTTGAACGTTAAGCTAAACAGCCTGAGCCAAAGATAAAATATTCGTTTGAAATCTTTGAGAAAAACACCCATTTGCATTATTTGAACTCATTTCGTTTTGGAAGAAAAGATATAGAAGAAAAACGCGGTGTACTTTGCAAAACAGGTCAGTTAAAATAACTAAAAACGTAGTAATATTCAAGTTTAATTTAGAAAATTAAACATTTTATTGCTATACATTTAAAACATCTTTCTAAAAGATGAATTTCTATGTGAACATTAGTTATTCAAAAATATTTAACTTTAATGGATTATAAAAAGTGTAAGTAAATTTTAATCAAATTCAGAAAGAGATAAAAAAAAATCTCTTTTTTCTCCTGTTTAACAGTGAGAAAATCAGCAGACAATTTCAACTCTAAAAGCTTCCTCTTGATACCTGTAGTGAAAGTTTTTGGCTAATTAAATATCCCGTAAATCTCCCAGTACATCCAAGCTGAACCATTCTTAACTTGGTGCATCATTTTCTGTCTGTAAGTATATTTACACAGCATGTTCTTGTCTATATTTACAAAAAAAGTACATTATGTATTGTGACTTCTTCCAGCATCTCTACAGTTACATAGTTGTTAAAATCCCCATCAGAAGAAAACCCTCTCGTGTTTGGAATCAAAGCTTTATTGCTGGATATTATATTAAAGATCGCAATCAGGCTTCAAGTAGCCTGAAAACAATCATAGTGCATCAATTATGTTACAATACACAGTATGGCATATGGGAGTATTTTACAATAAAGCAAAATTAGTTTAAGAGCATTACAAAAAAGAGCAAAACAGAGGGGAGCCATAACAATCATTCTCATGACGTGTTTTAAGTGTTACCCAGTTAATCACAATGAACAGACGCACACACATGATCATAGCAATAACAGTCCTGCTGGTTGCCAGTTCACTATCCTGGCAGATCAATGGTCACTAAGAACGTACATGATATAAAAACAAAGCTGCAGCACTTTTTGACTTGTGTTTCTTCTACTGAACTGCATCGACCTTCTGTCTTCAGAGCACTTCTGGGTGAAAAGCAGAACTTGTTGTATTATTACAGCAGCACTGTACCTTTAGTCACCTAAATCCTAAAAAGTACTTGCAGGTATTGAAGACTGGGGGAGTACTGAGTGTCATAACACAAACCAACCTAACTTTACTCGCTACAGAAGATACAAATCATCAACATGCTTGTTGTTTACTTTATTCATCAAAACTTCAAGTAAATAAAAGGGAACCTTTTTAACTCATTTGCTAGAACAACAATATGAGGACTAGCAAATATCTGAAACCCAGCAGCAGCTTGACTGAACAACAGCTGGTTGCTTTTCTCCAGCTGGAGACTGATACTGCATTATGGTACTCGTTTAAAACACACATGAACATCTAGCATGTCCGATGTCACAGTGTCCGCGTCTGCCATTTATATCCGACTATTAACTGCTCTGATTTCCCCCAAACATCGACCTTCGTTCTGAGCACATTCACACTCGATGAACCCTCGCTTGGCTAGTCCTCATTCACTTCCACCCTCCACTTCTCTCTGGCTGAAATGAGCCAGCAACGTGTCCAAGTCTCTGCGGTCGGCCGCAGCGTACAAAGAGCTCTCTCCCATCATGCTGAGAGCCATCCGTAGCGTGGACCAGATGTTGTCGGACATCAACGTGGCTGCTGCGCCTCCGGGTCCCCTCGCAGCTCTCGCTCCGTCTCCTGCAGCCTGCCGCTGGAGAGACAGCGCTTCCAGGAAGTGCTCCACAGCCTCTCTGTGGGAAAATTATTTATACGCACATATAAGAAAAGTCTTTATAAGAATCTACACGAACCATAATTCTTGGATTTTGCATATTACTGTTTGGCTACAAATTGGTGCTGGACAATACGGCTGAAAAATGCATCACAATATAAGGGTTTCACATCAGTAAATATTGATAATTATTGATTTGTTTTTTGTTTTAAATATGTGAAATCCTGCCAAAGTGGTGGAGTGACCTTTTCCTGTTTTATCCAGTTTTCACTCCATGTCGTTCAAGCAGTTAAGAGGCCCGGTGACAAAACCTGAAACTGCTTCTGTGCCAGTTACTCAACAGGTTGTTGCTAGGTAACCATAGAGTGAGTGAGTTGCTAGGTAACCAAAGAGTGAGTGAGTTAGTTGATGCCCCGAACCTTTCTTGGCTTGCCTTCACAGATTGAGTGGCTAAAGCCTTTCCTCTGCCTACATCTCCCAGAATGCTGTGCGGTTCTGGATCAGAGTTTGGTGAAATTACTGAATATTCGATACAGTGCGAAGTGAAAGTATCAAACATCCATTGTTCAAAGTTTCTGCATTTTTTATTATTTGAATTGATTTATTTATAGTTAAATAAGTAGGTATTTGTTTATTTTTCATTGTTATTTGACAAGATCAGTCTTCCATAAGAAACCTATTAAAATTAATAAAATTATTAGTCTTCAATTAGAAAAACTGTACAGTAATTATGTTTTAAATTCTACACAGAACCTGAATGAGTAGGGTAATAACTACAATTACTTACCATTTACTGTAATTATTTCACATCATATAAAGTCTATGTATTTATTTCTATAAACTAAAAATCAACTTTAGAGGGTTAAGTTGCAAAGACTACTGAAGACAGACAAGTTTTTTGTCTTAGAAACCAACTTCTTATCCACCAATTTAAAATGTTCAAAACATTAATGTGCCTTATAATATTGTTTTCTGATTAGACATTTCCTCACCTGTGTGCCCCTAAGTTAACGCAGCTGATTCCCAAGTTGTAGCGACTGCGGACAAAACCTGGCTGCAGTTCCAGAGCTTTCCTGTAGGCGGCCACTGCCTCTTCTGAGCGGCTCCCATTGGCCAGCGTGGCGCCCAGCTTGTTCCACAACAGATAATCCTGATTGTGCCACAAAATAAAAGGAAGTGATGAAGTTACGGCAAGCTCAGAAACAGACATACAGTGGCTAGGATCCCAGTGTTGACCTCTGACCTGTGGAGTAACGGAGAGGGCAGCACTGAAGCAGTCCACCGCCTTGTCGTACTCTCCGCTCAGGTTGAACAAAACTCCCAGACCGCACTGCAGCTGGGGGTCCACCTGGGAAGGGTCAGAGTTGGCTGCACGTAGGAACAGATTCTGGACATCGGTGAACAACGATCTGTGCAGGAAAACAAGAAGAAAAGAGAAGAAAACAGTCATGTTACAAAAGAGTCACTTCTGTAACATGAGTGCTGAACGTCTGCCGAGCTTCATTACTCACTCTGGCAGCAACGATCCGAACCGCTCCTTCTCCTTTTCCCTTTCCTGGCCGCCGTCTCTTTGACGGTCCCGCTCGTACTGCTCCCACACAGACTGGTATTTTGGATTGTGCTTCAGCCAGTCGCGCAACGTCTCACAGGCCTGCCTGTGCAGTGACTCGTTAGTGAAACTAACAGCCAGCGCCATCAGCGCAGTCAGGTTGTCCTTTTTCAGCTCTATACATCTGTTGGGGAAAAGCAGCAAAACAAAGGGAGGAAAGTTACATTAAAAGTTACATTATCTGTATTATTTATTAAAAAAAACATTCTTATGCTCTGCAATGCTCTTATATTTTAAATATAAAAACATTAATTCCCTATTACTTTTTATTTATAATTTTTACAAGTATATATTTTTTTCACCTAGCCTTAATATAAATTTAACAGTTTAGATTAAGGTTAAACAGCAAGAGACTACTTAAAAAAAAGAAAATACATGTTGCATGTATCTCATTGGACAACTGTATAGCAGACAAAATGCCAACTTAAAAGAAAAAGCATAATTAAATACAGTCATCTTGGTCAATTTTGATCGTTTCCACTATGAATCATAATTTTGTAGTTAAGGTTAAATTTTAAAATTATGTTCTGCAATTTCCAGGTCTCACCTGCGGAGGGCGCTGATGGCAGCAAATTCCTGCTCGTTCTCTGCCTGGCAGGTTCCCAGATATTGCCAAGCCTGCAATAAAACAAATAAATTTTTTTATTTATCCTCCTTTGCTTATACAAGTGCTGCCGCAAATTTTCTAATGTAACATTTATATATATTTTTTTCAGAAACAGATTTCAAAATATTTCTGAGAAAATTTTTAAAAACATGGAAGTTGATTTCAGATTTGGGGATATTTAGTTACTTTAAGTTTAACAACATTCAGAATGTTATTAAACTTTAAAATATTCAGGTTGGAATATTTTATAGAAATACAGATGATTTAAATTAAAGTTTGTTTTTCTGAAAATTCTTTTTACAAAAATCGTTCCTTCCTTTCACTTTAAGTTAAAAACCAAAAGTAGTGAAGTTTCCTTTTCATCCAAATTTAAACGAAAGCAAAGCAAACTCTTTTTCTAAATCAGAAAGATAAATTTATATTTTTTAGATCTTGGGACAAATACGTAACAAAACTGGGAAAATGATCAAATGAAATTCTACACTTTTCTTGGCACATAGATTCCTTTTTTTGTAAACTGAAAAAATATACAACCAAAAATATTGTGAGTGACTTTATCTGCGTTTGAGTAAAAATTAATTAAAAGATAAAAGCTGTGTTAGATATTTTAAATAATTTTCTTGTGGACTGAAGACTTTAAAATGGCCGCTGTTGCCGTCTCACCAGCTGGTTGTCTGGTTCCTTCTGGACGGCGCTTTCAAAGAAGCGCACAGCTCCCGGGATGTCGCCCGCCTCCATCCTCTTCAGTCCTTCTGAGAAAGGGTCTGGGTGGGACAAGCAGGGGTTGTCCTCCTCAAACTGATAGCCCTGTCAGAAACACAGCCAGGAAAAGTCAGAAATGGTCCAGGTACAGAAACGAAGGGGACTCACTGCAGCTTGGTTACCTTGTCGTAAGAGGAG